GGACAAGTCTCTCTCACCCGCCAGTCCCACAGCTGCTTAGACCCAACCAAGTAAACATAGAGACTTATCTTGCTTACAAACTGTATGGCCATGGCAGGCTTCTTGCTAACTACTTCTTCTATCTTGAATTAATCCATTTCTATTAATCTATAAGTTGACACATGGCTCGTGGCTTACTGGCATCTTCACATGCTGCTTGTCATGGTAGCAGCTGGCAGTGTCTCTCTGACTCACCCTTCCACTTCCCAGAATTCTTTTCTCTCCTTGTCCCGCCTATACTTCCTCCTGCCTGACTACTGGCCAATCAGTGTTTTATTTACTAACCAATCAGAGCAAAACATTTGCCATACAGAACATCCCACAGCACTTCCCCTTTTCTTTTTTTTTCAAAAAGGAGGATTTAACCTTAACATAGTAAAATTACATATAATTTGGGTTTAGAGAAGGAGTGAGCCAATTCCATCTCCAAAGCCAGCTTGGCCTATAATTGAATTGGAACCACAACTTTACTAGATTGATAGATAGATAGATGTTAGACAGTGAGATTTTACCGTGTGTAGATTGGTACCAATAGATTCTTTCTTTCTGCTGTAAATATCCGGATATCCAAGGCCTTATGATTTTTGGAAGATGGGTATTTCCATTATCCTGGAAAGACAAAAACAGAACCCTACCCCAACCTTTGATTGTTAAATTTTTCTTACAACTTGTAGAGATGTCACATTGGTGGATGATCTTTTACTTTCTTGATCAAGGGGTTTTTCCTGTTCAAATCGAATTTTTATTAATTTTGTTGGTATCCATACCTTTTTTTTCCTGTAGGAACAAAGGCAAAACCCCTTCCCCAACGTAGAACATATCCAGGTTTCCATTCTGAGGTCAGCACATCCTTGAAATAAACCGGTTGGTTTAGCTCAGGAGTTTTGTCTGTCGTCCAATGTCTGTCCGCAGCTGTTGTTCATTTTTCATCAGCATTGAGAAAATTCAAGGTTAATAAAGCACTATGCGATCTATTTCTAGGAGTCATTATTACCTGTTGTTGTTACCTGACTGTGAAAATATATAAGCCTGTCATGGGAATTTTTCATTCAAACCACCACAGTGTCTGTGTGTGGGTATGTGCATGTGTTAGTACAGATGCCCGCAGAGTGCCCGGGAGGGTGGGAGATCCTAGAGAGTTGGAGTTACAGTTGTGAGCCACCAGCATGGATGCTGCTAACCATATATATTCCTAAATACTTAACTACAACCTTCTCAGTCCGTGTAATGTTACTTGTATTCATGTGTTTAGGCTGACCATTTGGTAATAGATGACCAGTCGGTATGTTCTTCCCTGGAGGAGACTGTTTCATTATGAATACGTTCAAACTGGAAGATTGAAAGTAGACTAATGAAAACTAATTTCATAATCGCTCATCAATAGATGCTGACTTTGTGCTCTCTATATTCGAGAAGTGGAATTAACTTCACTGACTTTTATGATCTAAGGCAGTCCAGTATGAGATGGAAGTTTAGAAAAGAAAACTGTGGGCACTAGGGCTGCTCATTGCTGTTTTGAGGCTTCTCATTTTATACATACTCATAAAGACTCTAAAGCGGTATCTTTGTTTCACATATCATATTGCAATGTTAAAAGGAACGTTCTACTATTCTTTTAAAATGTTAAATTGTATCCTTTGTGTTATCCTAAAAGTTTTGCCAGAAAACATTGCAATAGTTGTATATTTATTTTTCCTTCAATATTGGGAAAATAGTTTCCTAATGCCTATGGTATGAATAACAATGTAGCTTCCCAGTGGACATCATAGTTACATAGACTTTTGTTGTCTATACAGTAGCTTACTTGTAGACAATTAAAATTATTTGCAATTTTAGTTATTTACCATTTAAATTTTTCAAGATCAAGAACAAATTTTATTAGAGTTTAATTAAAATTTCCTAGGACAGGCAAATTGTAAATCTTGGCAACCAGTCAAAACAGAAGAATGAATACTAGAAAGGCAGGACTAGGCTTGCCATTTAAGTCAGCTTTAATTAATTAACTAATTAATTAAACTTTTAACACAACATTTTTATTGATTCTTTGGGATTTTCACATCATGCATCCTGATTACACTCATTTCCAAGTCCTTCCATCCCCCTCCTCGTGATCCCCCAAAAAAGCAAACATTAAAATAAAAAAAGTCCAATTTATGTTGTCTACATACTCACTGCAACGTGGTCAAACTCTCAGTGGCTTGCCCCTTAAATAAGACTAAGTCCTTGCCCTCCCAGACCCTGCCAAAAGCCATCAATTGTGGAGCTCTAACTTCAGTATACCCCATCACCCCTTTTAAGAGTTCTTTTCGATGGCTTCCTCTCTAGGTTGTTACTTTTATCTGGGGTGGGGATGGGGAGTAGGGGTTGTCACAGAAGCCTCCCATGTCTCTCCTGCTCAACTGTGCATTATAGTCATTGATATCACAGCAAAAATATCCTCCTTGCTCTCCACAGTCAGTGGGGGCATGATAATGAGTCCTCACAGGCTTTCTGGCAAAGCACAAACCACAAACACGAGTCCCAGCTGCATCAACTAATAAAATATTATAAATGTTTGATTCAGGTAATATGTACTTCTCAACACAAAGAAAAATATCTGAGATTTGTAACAATATCAAAAATGTAGCGTGAATTCTAATTTGTCTTAATAATAAAAACCCAGAGTCAGATATCAGAGTGAAAGCTGAAAGATCAGAGAAGCAGAGCAGCAGCCACTAGAAAGACTTCTTAGCACTAGGAATCCTCAGACTGAAAGGGCCAAACTCCTGTCTCCACCCTTGCCTTATCACTTCCTCTCTCCACCCAACCGTATCACTTCCTATTTCCTCCTCCCAAGTGCTGGGATTAAAGGCTTGTGCCACCTACTACTTGGCCTCTAGTGGCTGGCTCTGCACTCTAATCTCCAGACAAGCTTTATTTGTTAGAGAACAAACAAAATATTGCCACACAAAAATAATAAAATTTCAGTCCCCCAAGATAGCTATTATGTGACTCTCAGCCAACGATGGAGTTGGGTCCTTTCTGCAGCTTGAGTTGGAAACATGAAAAGGAGAATTAGAAATCAGAACTTTATTTAAAGACTTCAACAGTTTTTCTCTCACAAAGAGATAAAAGTTAAAAACAAAAACAAAAACAACAAAGACAATCTGAGACCATCAACTCATGGGAAGTAATTCGGCATTTATTAAGCACTTCCATCCAACACCACCTGTTTTTCATTAAAAGATCCATGAGACACATCTAATGTGTACATTCCTGAAGTCACAGAATTGTAAGAATGGAAAGCATTTAGTGGTTGTTCCTGAGGCAGTAAATGAATCATAAAAGGCTCCATAAAGGTTTCTGTGCTGATGAAAATCATGTGTGCCTAAAGATTACCACAGTCAGTCTCTTAATGCTAGTGCTATGCTATAATTCTGCAAGTTCTAACCTTTAAAAGACAGTGGATAAAGATGGGAAGAAATCTCTTTGTTAAATTTCTTATACCAGCATGTAAATCAACAATTTAAAGACTGTTTTAGTTACACTGATGCTTTTGATACTTTCTTTAACTTAGGGTTATCTTTTCTACTAAAATTAATTCAGATCTTACTTATTAGGTTTGATTAGAATCATGAAAAGCATGAACAATTAATTTTGATAAAGGAAGGCTTTGCTTTTGAATGCATTGGAATCTGGAATGGCTTATAGAAATAGAGGTAGAAGTTTGAAGGAGTTGACAAACTCGCTTTAACTCATGCAGATTGTAGAATGTTAAAGACTGACTAACCTTGAAATAACTTTGACTCCGGACCATCTCTAATGAAGCATGCTTACAGAAAGTATTGTAGAATGTACTTAAAGCTGTGCTTTTATTCTTACTTTTGAAATTACTGTCAGATTCCTAGCTTATAACTAAGAACAAGTGTCTAAGAATGAATCATTATTCATCTCCCAACTTAGACAAATTGGACAAAATCAGAGGAAAAATGTCTTAAATTTCAGCTTTAGAAATACATTCTTCCAAGCATAATACTGAAAAATATGCAAGCTTACTTTTTAAGGAGGTTTGATTTGCACCTAAAAGCTTTTGACAGCTTATGCTGATCATAATATGTGTACCGTGTTTAGTGTAATTGTCTTAGAAACATTTGCCTTTCTCTTCATTTGAACAGCCTGGGCAGGCTGCAGCTTTGAGGACTCTGGAGTGGCATTTCCAAGAAAAGTAGTAAGCTCTGAGTTTGGAAGTGAGGTTCACAGCTGCACACAAAGTCTGTGAGCTAAGATTGCATGATAGTCTTTCACAATACTAGCATATGGCTGGCTGCTAGTGTTTAGTAAGTTCATTAAGCATGTGACTAAACCTTCAATTTTACTTGCAAGTCAGGCCAATAATAGCACCATATCAAATATTTCATACAGTAAAATTCATGTGACCTGGTATCCTTGTTTCTCCTTCACCTTCTTCATCCCCTCCTATGCCTACATTCCCATTTTCTACTTAGGCTAGTTAAATCATCTACAAATTAATTCAAGTGGACAAAGGCATCAAAGAAGCAAAGAAGACTATGAAAAATAAAAGGAATAAAGACGGGAAAGCTAAATACATCACTTAGGGTATTTTCAACCTCTGTAAAACTCCATAGATATTCGTATTTCATAAATTCAGACTTTCTATTGTTGATATGCTCAACTATTTCTAAAAATTAAAAAGCCTTCAACAGAACGTGAATGATTTTCATGATTGTGTATTTTCCCTCTGTCCATTTATAGGGATCAAACCACAAACTTTATTCATGGAAAACAAAACACAACAACAACAAAACAAATAGTGATTTATGTGCTCGAATTACAATCCCACAGCATATTTTTTCCCTTAAGTGACATGGATTTTGTGCCAGAATCTGGATAATTGACAGATTTATGCATGTGCACAGTAGTTGGCTTGGTGCCTTTCGATTCTGTGAGGAAGCACTTCCAAATGTCTTAGGGCTCAGCCAAAAGGGTTAGCACATTTTTTCAAGCAGGAAGCTGTGTTCATTGTTGTCTTGAAATACGCCTGCTGTTGAATGAAGTCATAATGCCTCAGAGTAAGGCCACTGCAGGTGAAGAGGGGATGAAAGAGCCCTTGCTTTTGCTTTACAGTGGGCAAGTTGTAGGTCTTAGCACATTTCTTAAAAACAAAGGAATGAACAACGACTCCACATCCAGCAAGAAACAAGAGTAGCCTGAAGCTTTCAAAAGCTGCTTAGAAGACTGGTAGTTTACTTGCTTTCCTCATAGGGAAACTAAATGAATCATTTTACATCTGTTTTAGTTAAGCTTAAAACAGAAATGAATGGATATAATAATAAGTTACATTTTACAAGCTTTTACTGAATGATTCAGCCTTAGGAATGTAGTATTCTATGTTGATTATTCTGATGTAGCAAACTTCTTCAGTTTTTATTCTCAAACTGCAGTTCATCAAAAACAGCTTTAGCCGGGTGGTGATGGCACACGCCTTTAATCCCAGCACTCAGGAGGCAGAGCCAGAGCCAGGCAGATCTCTGTGAGTTCGAGGCCAGCCTGGGCTACCAAGTGAGTTCCAGGAAGAGGCTCAAAGCTACACAGAGAAATCCTGTTTCGAAAAACAAAAACAAAAACAAAACAAACAAACAAACAAAAAGATTTAAAGAAAAGCTTATCACAAAGATAAACACACTGATGCTAATAATAATTTTATTGTAAATCTTATATATTTGCTTGACTTATACATATATTACTGTTTACCTTAAGCTATTTTAAGTCCTTCATGCATATAATCTAAATAATGTTCCATTCTCTTAAAAGTACAAACAGGAATTTTGATCAGTATCAAATAGAGATTCTTGCATTTGTCATTAAAATCATAATAATTATCTACAAGATTACTGAATTAGGATTTAGTATCTATCAACAGTGTAATTTATTTTAGTGCATCCAAAATATTTCCAAGTTGTGTGTTAGATTTTAGAAAGTGCATGAATCCTGCTATATAAAATAATAACTAATGGAGTAGTAGGGGGTAAGAGGGAAATGCTCAAGGAAATTGCATGTTTGTTTATGAAGGCTTCTCTCACTATGGCAAATTCTAAAACAGAGCCAGAATGAATGAAAAGTAAAACACTGCCATTGTTCTTACAAAGCTTGCAATCCAATAGAAGAGGCTGACAATTTCCAAATACCTATGCATGTAAGTAACTTTTCCCAGAGCTGAATGTCTTAACGTTTGTTTCAGATTCTGAAACATGGAAAACAGGAAGTTGAAGTAGCAGTTACTACAGTCAAAAGCAATGTATAAGTGTTTTAGTCATACTCAGAATCATGATTAAAATTTAGTCAGCTTATAGACTATGTATTGTTAAATACTGGGAGAAACAAAGATGCAAGCATCTACTTGAGTCACGATGAGAAATGTTTAAATAGTTGGCAGAGAACCCTGTATGTTGACAGGTAGAATGCCTGCATCATTCAGTTCTAATCCTGTGCAAGCAAAATTGTTTCACAACTAGCATATTTGGTAGTAATAACAATGAAAAGCAAATAACTATATTGGTCAAAACTTTGTCATATAGACCTATCAAAATTATTTTACATTTCATAATTTTATTTTACTGAACTAAGATTTATAAACTCTGAAAACAGTGAGTATTCAAACTTGAGAAGAAATGTAAGCCCCATATATTTATATCTCATCACTAAGAGACAATGGGTGCAGATTTGTTTGGCATGCAAACGTAATTTATAAGATTAAAATGTTAAACTTTTCTTTAAATCAAACTCTGGAAATCACAAAAAAAATAAGACCTAATTTCATAGAATATTTCAGTACTGTTTCTATCTTTTGAACTTTTCTACAAAGATACAGGCTTTACCTTATTTTTGTATAAAATATGAAAAATTACAATGTTACAAAAATGTTTACATAGAGAAAAAGGAATCTATAAATCATATCTAAATATATAGTGGAATAGCTGAAATAAAGAATATTTGCATTTTTAATTTAATTAAGGAATAAACAATTTTATATTTATAGTAAATGAATTCAGGGAAGCAAATAAAATGCAGAATTCTAATTTGAAATATTTTTGTTGCCCACTCCAATATTTTTAGAATGATAAGTGGGAAAATATAAAAATAACAGAGCATGCATATAGATAAAATTACTTGTCATTTTTCTAATAGAAACTGTAAAATCAGTAGTCTGTCTAATTTATATTAGTGACTCTGCTCATAATGTTGTCTCTGATTTAAGCTTTTCCTCCATAGGAAATGCTGCTGTTGTAGATGGATTTCAAATCAGAATTTAACTGATGACTCCAACATTGCTGAAATATAACAAAAATATTTCAAATGTACCTCAAAGCATGTTATCCACTATGAAGGCCTACAATGTTAGAGACAAATGCTGTGTTTGTTTCTCTATACAAGGTGGTAGTGTAAGGAATTTTATCAGTCCCCCACACATTTCCTCATACAAAATAGTCTCTTACATGGGTTACAGAGTGGGTTGCAAAGTATGATTTACTCTTGAGCTATTTATCTATCACATAATGCATTTTTTTATCTGTATAAAATGATCCACAACTTAGTTCACACCATAAGTTAGAAACTCTGGTTCACCTCCTGGCTATTCATCTATTTAATATTAATGCAAAGCAGTGGGGAAATCACCATGATCAGATGGGGTGTATACAAGAATAGAGAAGTGAGCCATGAATACAGATTTTAAATTTTATTCTATTCACCTTTTGACAGATTGCAAAAGACACTACCGATTTACCTTTGATTATTTAGAATGGTCACATTTTTAATCTTCCCAATTACAAGCATGGCTCTTCTTTTATCGCACTCATTTTGGCTTTTGAAATAATCCTTTTAATTCTCTGTCAATGAGAAAACGCAGCTCCTCAAATTTTGCTCAGTAATAAAAGGTTTTGTGTCTTATGTAGGTGTAAGCCTTAAAAATCAATGACCTAAAACTATGTAATGCCTTAAAAATTCTAAATTTGTAAAATATTTCATTACTATTCAAATTTGGATCTGTCTTTGTCTTCAATTTTCTCCTTGACCAGGTTCTCCCATCATGCTCTGTTGAAAAACTTTCTTTTCTGTTCCATTCTCTTGGACTTTTAATTTTTATTGCTTGAATTATTTTAGAACATTTCTGACATTATGTTCATCTCTGCCAACAAAGTCTTACGACTATTTTTCTTTTCAAATATTTTCCTACTTGTGGTCATGAATGACAAAGTACAGGTCCCCTTTGTTTATTGCTGATCCCCTCACATGCCAGAGTATGCACAAAATCAGGGCTTGTTATTTTCAGAAAGAAACAATAAACCCCTCTGAATTCACTCAGCCAAATCATATATGTATTTTCTTATAAATAGTACATCTTTACTTGTAAAATATGTTTATAAAATTGTTTAATCTTATTGGTTAACTGTGCAAGTATTCATATTTCATGAAACTCAAGTCAACTTTATCTGTTTTATTCAAGAATTGGAAAAGTGCTTTTCTTTGATGGTGATATTCATTGATTGCTGAATAACTGATTAATCACTTTGATTATTATATCAATAAAGATTATAAAGACATTTATCCTCACATTAGCTTAGCTGATTATCACACATTAGCTAGGTATATTTTTCCACTTTTTTGCAGGTATAAATAAAAGCCTAGCTTAGTTATTTTATTTACATAACTTTATAGCACCTTAAAGTCCCTTTTCAAATTATGTTAAATTATTCAGTTGTAAATAAGTTATAATTGTACCATGATTTTAATCAGTCTTGCTAATGTCACTGTGTATCTTTACTTAGACCAATTGCTCTGCTTTTCTCTGATGAAGACTATTTCTTGTGTTCTCAACATTACATAGTTGCCTGCAGTTCTTTGTGTAGGGAAACCATTCTGGTCTTTTCCCTGTCTATTTTAGCAAGCGCATTGTTGATGTCCTTGTTCAGATTATGCATAGGCAGACATGTTGGAGAGACTTTATGGGTGTAGTTTCTGACATTACTAGGAGACATCATCTCACAGAAATCTCCCCAATCCTCTGGTACTTAAAATCGTTCTACCCCCTCTTCCACAGTCTTCCATGAGCCTTAGGTGGAGCAGTTGCATTGCGTATGCATCCTTTGGAACTGGGGTCCACAATTCTGCATTTTGATAGTCATAGTTGTCTGTAATGGTCCCCTGTCTGTTGCAAAGACAAGTTTCCTTGGTGAGGCAAGAGGACTACAGTTATCTGTGGGAATAAAGACAAATATTTTGAAGGTAGTTAGGGATTATTCTGGTTTAGTAAAGTAGTAGTTGTAGTCACTTTGAAAACATGCCTCTGCCCTGGAGTTAGCTAATTCCTTCAGTTATTTCTCAGTAACTGGATCATCCCCAGGAGTCTAGGAGGAGCTAGGATTGTTACAATTAGTCCTGCCAGCACCAAACTAATGTCAAAATCCCTTTTATCTCTGGCCCAGGTGAGCATTGCTTCCTCTTTGTTCTCCAGAGGGAGAGCAACATTTAAAACTGTAATTTCTGGGACGAGGGAGATGGCTAAGTGGTTAAGAGTACTTGCCTTCAAGAATACCCAAAATTCAATTCCCAGCAGCTATGTCATGCAGCTCACAAACTCTGTGTCTCCACCTTTAAGGTATGTACCACCCCTCCCTCCTTGGCCACCTCAGACACTGGCCTACATATGACATTCACACAGCAAACACCCAAAGAGAGGTACACATATACTCGTAGATAAAAATAATAAAAATGAATTTTGAAGAAAGCCTAAATTCTTTCCAAATACAATATAATTACACAGAGGCATCAGCTAACTAATACATAATCTGGGCACTATCTATAAAAGCTATATAACACACATTCACATACCTATAAAGTCAAATTCTGTCTCTGTTTCTTCGCACAGTTATGTAAATGTAACAAATAACATAAATGATTCATTCCTATGTTTTGTCAGTTGTAACAGGAAGATAATCATAGCAACTAAACTCTTCAGCATACAGATTGTGAATAAGTTCTTTTTGATAGTATTCTCTTACTTTTTGAGATTGTAATGTAGTTACATCATTCTACCTTTGCTTTCCTTCCTGCAGATCCTATTACATGCACCTCTTCTTAAATAAGTTCAATCTTTCACACTGCAAAATATTTAAATACTTGGAGCTTGTTTCAAAGCTAAAATTTTCTGAGTTTAATGAGGGATATGAAGAGCACCTTAGTAACAATGTTTTGATCAATGACATAAATTTTCAAAATGATAAAATAATGGTTTAATTGGATCAGATTTTGTTGTTAAATGGCATGTGACCATCTTTGCACATTAACATGAACTTTAAGTGTTCAAGAAAACTAGTAAGTTTGAAGGTGGAAAATGAAACTAACTCTCCATTATTATATCCATTGTTTATTATATTAATTATTCCATTATTTTACAGATTAAAATAATTTTAAATTAAAATACAGTATTGCTAAACTATAGCTTAAGTTTTTCAATTCATTCTTAATTTATTCAATATTATATTAATTTTCATGCGGTAATAGTGATCCTTTCTTAGTTATATAGAGCTGATAACATTGTTCTATTGATCTTAGGGCCTTCACTAACCTTATAACATTTACATGGTTGGAAAAAAAAACATAAACTCTAAAAGTAAAATATGTATATATATATATATATATATATATATATGTGTGTGTGTGTGTGTGTGTGTGTGTGTGTGTGTGTGTGTGTGTGTGTGTATATGTAGGAGTGGTTGTCTATTCTTCGCCCCTGAAACACTGCTCCTAGTAGGCAGCAAGTAACTGCTAGGTACCTGCCCCCTCCCAGGGCGTGCCCAAGACAGGGACCCCTTAAGAACTGAAATGTGTACGTGTACGTGCTCACTTTCTTGGCTACCTCGTGGTCCTGGATGCTGGATGCTGGACAGCAGACCAAGTCAGAGTTCTCCAGAGAACCGCGTTGGACTGCGTCTCACCTCTCCTGGATCCCGTAACTGATCCCTTTGCTTGCTGTAAGTTGACTTAAAATAAACCTCTTTTAACTGTCAGATAAACTATGTGGAATTGCCTCATTAATTGACACTACATATAAATCATTAACTTTTTCCCAGAGAAGAATACTGTGAAAAAGAACTTAATAGTAAAAATTCAAAAAAATAAAAACAGAAGAACCCAGTATTTACTTTTGCTTAATAATTAATCAATTGTATTCATACTTTCAAATACATAATTCTGGATCACCTCTGTTTTTCTTACAAACTGACATTGGCAGATAAGGACTATGGTTCCCCAGATTTTAATATGATTTGGCTATTAACATCTTCACTTATCCATATAAGAGGAGTTCAATAGATTCAGAATCCAAACTTTATTTGCTTAATAATGTTTTGACTTAATGATTCTTTTATTCATTGGTGTGTTCATGTGAAATCAGTACACATTGGATAGATATTTCAGTTTTAACTTTGTTCTTTTCCTAGGATGGTTATACAATGCCAAGCAAGTTGTAACTTCTAGTAGGTCCAATGATCTAAATAATGAGATGGGTATGTCCTATTGTGTCCTGTATTGATAAACTATATGATGCTGAATTAAATCATGTGTGTTAAATGCATTCTGATTCATAGTATTTGATGACTGATGGTCTCTTTACTGAAATACATCTATACCGTAAGAAGATTATTTGTAGAATACTGTGGTAAAATACCTGGAACTTTCTTTCTAAACTGTACACTCATTATCATCACTCCCATTGTGTTACCTTCAGTGAAATGCATTCATCAGTAATTCTTAAGAAATCTGAAAGAGGAGATTGCGCTAAGATATTAGATAGAAATTCATAGACTGATCATTATAAAGAGGGTTTCACGAAACCAGCATCTTTAATAGTATTTAAAGAGCAAAGAGAAGGAATAGAAAATGATTGTACAGTAGAAAGACAATAAGGAAATATATATATATATATATATATATATATATATATATATATAATTTAAAAAGATATAGAAAAATATGAATTCATAGAAGGTAACATATAAGAATCAAACAAAATGAATTTTTGTAAACATATTTTTAAGTGCTATAAGTAAAATAGATGCAAAACCATTGCTAAAACATACAGGGGTTTTCAGGAAAGAAGTAACAGTAAAGGAATAGACTTGTTCAATTCATTTGTTAGATGATCTTCACTCTCTAATCTATTCAATGGCATATTGAAAGATTATTAATGTAAGGAAGTAATAATGTACTCACTAAAAACTAACAGAACTTGGTTTAAGCACAAAGACTTGGCCATACCACTTAAGCTAATGTTTATATTTTACTTTAAAATCGTCTGCTTCAGGAACATTTTCAAACAAGAGTGGATTTATATTAAAAATTAAGAAGAAATATATTTCTATATAAGACTCCATAATTAAAGGCAACTAAGTGGGTTGGCCTGGAGAATTAATCCATTCTGTTACCCATCTATGACAAATGCAGTTTTCACTGTTTTTATTAATAGTTTATTTGTGTGTTTATTTTAATTATTAGAATCAATCATTTGTAGGGTTTTGGAACTTCCAAATAAATATGAAATTGTCATAGATAGATGAAAACAAAAGCATGATAAAATTACTAAATTACAAAAGAGGAAGTATGAGATGACAGAACTTGAATGAATAAAATATATTTGCATTTCATGTCATATCTATTTATATGGGTTCTCATGAATTTCTCCAAATTTGACTAATCAATCATACATGGAGAGTCCATATATTAATCTATGACAACTTATAATTCTGTTATGTAGTGTTTTCACTTTCATACTGTGTTAATGAAAAACCTTTTGTAAATAAAACAAAGAGGATCCATTTGAACCTTTTTAATTGCATAAATTACTTAAGGGAAAAATGTAAATTTCTAAGGGAAAGACATTTAGGCATTTCTCATTAGAATAGGTGGTCTTGGGATTTGTTTTAATGCAGGCTTTGATGGATGACAGGATGAGAATTACTGGGACTCCAGAACTAAGGACTACCTCAGTGTGAAAGCCCTCATGGAAGAAATTAGAATTAAGTAAGTGAGCAACAAGGACAACATTTAGCAGAGAGTCCACAAATTAGCATGAGTTAATTCTTTTGATTTTCTATGGGAAATTCCACAGGATATGGGAGACATGCATGAAGACCAATCCAACTGAGGAGCCATTGGCAGCTGCTGGCAGCTGCAGAAGGAAAAGTCCCATGTCTCTGAGGAGGTGAACACTGGTGCGTTCCCCATGCTCCAGTGCCTTGTGCATGCATATGAGCAGAGTTAGGGATGCAGAGGAGTATATATAAAATGTATTTGTAAAAGAAGAGGACATGCTGTTGGGAGGGTGACATGCTAGGTAAGACGTGAGAGAGTTGGGGACAAGAGGAAGGAGGAATCAGAGAAGTCTGATACAGCTGGTTCTGGTTGTACTTTGCCACATTTAGAAAACTTCCTAAGAAGGTCTAAAACACATTCCTACCATCTAGTTACTGCATACGGAAGAGGCATGACTGCCCCACTCTCTCAGCTTTTAAATGACAGGAGCATAGTTCACCCAATAACTTTCAAACTTCAAATACATGTTCAAACTTTTCAAGCTCTTAGAATTTACTGGCACTTATGCAACCTACCTTTTCTTTTAAATCCACTAATCCCATTTTCTCACCTTCCTATCCAGGAAATCCTGTCCACGGTCCTTGTTTGCTGTGGGATGTTCTGTATGGCAAATGTGTTGCTGATTAGGCAATAAATAAAACACTGATTGGCCATTGGCTAGGCAGGAAGTGTAGACAGGACAAGGAAGAGAATAAAGCTGGGAAGTGGAAGGTTGAGTCAGAGAGATACTGCCAGCCGCCATGATAAGAAACAGCATGTGAAGATGCCGGTAAGCCACGAGCCACGTGACAAGTTATAGATTAATAGAAATGGATTAATTTAAGCTGTAAGAACAGTTAGCAAGAAGCCTGCCACGGCCATACAGTTCGTAACCAATATAAGTCTCTGTGTTTACTTGGTTGGGTCTGAGCGGCTGTGGGACTGGCAGGTGAAAGAGATTTGTCCTGACTGTGGGCCAGGCAGAAAAACTCTAGCTACACTTGTTAATTTTCCTAAGCTCTTTATTTATTTATGTGATGATCTGAAGGAGTGTCATAAATGGCTATTGAGTCACATTATTATTATTATTATTTAAGATATTTTATGTATATTTAGAAGTGGATA